GGAGAAGGGAGGGAGGGACAGATGATGCTGACTCAGTACAAGACTTGATTCAACAACTGGATTGGTAACTGGATGTTGCATAAGCATAAGAACACCAAAAGGAAGATGCTGTACATATACCACGTGTCGCTTTTTTTCGGATTATGGGAGCCATGCAGTCCCGAACGATCTGATACGAAAAGATCGTAGCTATCTGTAAGACCGTAGCTGTTTGCAAGCAGTAGGGAAGAGCGCTGAACTCAATCTGCCAGAAGGAGATTTCCGTCCACTTAAATTTGTTTGCCCCCACAAATCCTATCCGCAGCCTCAACGCGGCGTGGCAGTTAACGATTTTGGGCTGTTCCAAACCGTACTTGAAGAAAGCCTTCGACTCCGTTGAGACAGAAGCGGTTATCGAAGCCCTGGGCAACCAGGGTATTCCTACTCAGTACATCAGGATTCTTCGTGAGCTCTACAGCAACTTCACGACCAAGATCTCACCATTCTACAAGGAGATCATCATCGACACGCGATACCATCTCGCCCAAGCTCTTCAGCGCCTCTCTCGAGAACGTCATGCGTCAACTGGAATGGGAAGACATGGGCAAACATCGAGCAAGCGGAACGAATGCTGGCTGATTTCGACTGCGCGTGTGGAAAAATCGGTCTACGGCTGAATCTAACGAAGACGATGTTCATGAGAAACGGATTGGTTTCTGATGCCCCATTCACGCTCAACGGAACGACCATCTCTGAATGGTCCTGCTATGTGTACCTGGGTCGTCGCGATTGTCAGACTGTTTCGTGAAAGCTCTGAACGAATGGTATGAAGTTCATCGTGTCCCTCGAGCAGAGAGAGTCCATTGGGCAACTCTTGCACGTTGCAGGGACGAATGGAGACGTTACTGGCGCCCGCTCGAGGAACTCGATGATCAACGGGAGCACAGGTGATACAGGAAGGTTGTTTGAAGAAGCGATTGGAACTCCCCGACATCAGGCGCATTCCCAGCAACACTCCACTAAGATTTTACGACGGTCTGCTCTACGACGCAGAAATTTATGAAAAAAATGACGTTCGTTTTGCAGATTTGATGTTATGAAGACGTAAAAGCTGTGTGAATAACAAAAACCTTGGAACGACCATAAAGCTAATAAACGTATGATGCATTTAATAGTTTCTCATGTCTAAGAGAAACACAGACACCACTCAACTATCACTGTCCCGAAAGGTCAAAACAATTTTTGGTGAAACTTTGCCCACAAGATTCGATGACCAGATCGCGAGCATGGCATTCATTTGCCCCACCAGCGCCATTTAGCGCTCTGCTACAATACCGCCCCTAATTTTTGGAAAAAAGGCGGATTAATCCGCCGCAAACCGCCGCAAAGCGCCGCATTGCTTATAACTCCCTTCAAAAGAGCTAAAATGAAAAGCCAGGCATACCGTTAGATTCAGCTCTACGCGGCGAATCCAACGGTACAATACCCGCTAAAATTCCTTGGAAAAGAAATGGCAAAAAACGCAGATCCGCGTTTTTTCCGCTTTTCGGCTCTTTTTTTTTATTATAACTCGATTTGTGTGAACCTTTCTTGTATAGAACCCTATACTGCTAGACTCAGCTCGTCGAGTTCTATAAGCTGGCATCCTAAAAAACTGAAAAAGTCGAAAATTGAACTGTGCTTCCTATCGAAGTACCTGAGGACACTCGTTAGCGAGCGAGTCTCGCTATAATTGTAACCAGAGGGCAAACGTTGGGAATTAAATCATTGTGAGATCAAATAATGTACTGCATCGCGTGAGAAGTGATCAAAAACTAGATAGTTGTGTTTCCCAAATGCTGCTGATCATTTTGGTGCCCATTTTCCCGAAAATTGAGGGGTTTCGCTCGATCTCACTTCCGGACGATATAGCCTTTTCAGTCCGGAAAATCTCGAGCTGTGGTTTAGTTCGGACCACATGAGCACAACGTGCCTAATGTATGGATCCCTGTTTTCCTTAATGTTCGCGACTTTCAAGAATGAAGTCGAAAAGAAGGGTGTTTTCAACACACGAAATGGGCACTTCACTGTGCGAGGGCTAGCTGATGCTGTCACCCGCGTTATGAATATGGTAACCTTCTCCTTCTAACGCCTCTTATCGGATCTTATCAACTGATATCACTTCCTGTCACCCACCAATAGTGTTCCCGTCACACCCCTACATTATATCTTGGAACCAAAATCTCACTGTTACTGGGAAAGGCGCTATGACTTTCGTGACACACAGACGAGCACTGCACACCAAGACATACTTAGCGGATTATATATAGAAAAATAAAAAACGGATCACATGGCTTGCCTATGTAATAAACATAGGCGAGTATGGGGATACAGAACCAAGTTTACCCCAAAAGAAGACCTGTCTCAGCAAGGAGTTGCGGCCGTTCTACTACTAGTTTTGTTTCACTGGTTTCCAAGCATATCTGACAGTTTTTCAAAACCACTTCGAACGTTGAACCTTGGAATAAATCCAACTTCATCCTCCGTGGAGAGCAGTTCTCATAACACACGATAGTTTCTGCAAGCGCAGTGGACCCACAAGAGAGAAACCAGAGGCTTCGACTTAAGAAGCAAAATTTTTATGTAATCTCTGCAATTTGTAAACAATTGAGGTCCACAAGTCGCACCGTGTACAACAATATTAACAGTCAATAATCCTAAGAAAAACTCAAACCTGATCAGCTATAACAAGAAATTAACATGGTAAAATATGAAGAACGCTAGGATGGACGATGTGCGATTTGGTCGAGAGCAGAAGTGAGCTGAAGAGATGGTGAGTCCAAAGTTTGTGAAAGCTGTCCAAGCTGTGAAGTAAGAATTTGGACCGTCTCTACACGATGGTCGTTCAAGGAGGCAACCTTCGAGAACCGTTTCACTTCTTCCATAGACATAATCCGCGAATCTGCTACACATACTGGAATATACACAAATTGAACTTTACTATCACGAAAAGAAGAAAAAATGTTAACAATGTGCAGTCCTGACCTAGGGGAACTAGCCAGCTGAGTTTCTCTGCCTCATCATTTATAGTCTTTAAGGCTGATAAATCTTTTCCAAACAACATGGCGTTTGTTTGAACCAATACAGGGTTCAATGCTGAGAGTGGCGTTCCTAGAAAATCATATAGTATTAGGTTGACAGGAAAGTTCTGTAATACTTTTTGAAATTAGGCCTTTTTATAGGGACGCATGATATCGAAAAATATGCAGTGTTGTTTTTGCTGAATTCTTGCCAGCTTTGAGCACCTTTTGCATGCCATCGCTTCGCAAACCAGGCCCGCGCGACATGAAGTTGAATATGATTTCGATTTTGACTTACCAGGGAAGGCCAACAGGTCAGTCCGGTCATTTCCAGTGAGGTGCACTACGTTGTACGCTCCCCCTGGCACGCTGAACTCTAATCTACTTTTGGAATTTGCTGAACGATACTGAAAGGAGTTATATCCGAAAGCGCACTGGCCCCCAAGCGGCACGGGCCTGTAGCGCGCGATATGACCACTCTCGCTGTTCCGCGTTCGCGAAGTCAAATAATCACCGGGGGCAGGCACTCCAACGAAATCTGAGATTTTTTACTCAACTCCGAAAATGGGTCAGTCATGACTGAATACTGACAGTAGGTCTAGTCTACCATATAATAGTCATCAGTGATAGGTGAGCTTCAGTGTGTTCACACACTACTCATAGAAATACCCCAAGTTTTCGAAGTTGGATGAACTTCTCACATTTGGCTAGAAAGGTATCTATAGGGGTAGTTTGACCCGCTGAACATGACAATCCCACTAGTTGAGTGGGAAAACCTTTGTGACATTCGTTATGAGGACACAAGTGTCCTTTGAGGCCAAGAGGGGCCTACACTGGTGACAAGCTGATCGCAGGTCCTCTTACAGGCGAAAACGGGCGAGCAGGGATGTTCGAAGCTTTGTTGACCATGTTCCTAGAAAAGGCAAAAGAGCGTGAAGACATGGGAACTGATCCCGTGACTTCACGCTTATCAAACCCGATCACTACCAGTTGCGCTTCACTGCCACGTTTGATTATCCTCTCCCATGAGATAGCATGTGAAACAACAAGGCGGGGAGAAAACCCTCCATAACTCTGTTCAGAGAGTCGTTCAGCAAATTTCAAAGAAAGTTTTGAGCTCAGCGTCACAAGACGTGCACAGCGGTGTACATCATATTGCAAATGGCAAGACTGACCTATTGACCTTCCCTGGTTAGAATCGCGTCTTGAAGCATTTCTCGTGAATGTAACGGATCAATTCACGAGACAACAAGCAGCTTGATGGAGCAATGTCTGGGCTTCATTGCAGAGAAAGCTAGCTCTATTGCATGAGGCCAGGTTCGACATTTTCGAAGGTTGTGCGCTGCACGGTCATGTTGAGGGGAGTATATGCGGACGAGGATATGCGGACTAATTTTCCATCTGATCGACTAGTCGCTTTGGATCTCCCAGCTGCTTTGTGTGGGGAGACCGAGGGAAGAGCCTCCTTACCAGTGATTTCACAAGCGGCAGCCCCCTCACGCCGAGTTCACAAGAGCACTGAAACCTCACTTGGTCATCAAAGCTGTGGGCTTGGAGTAGCGTGGAGGACTGATACCGTTGTACGATAACCGCGGGCATCGTCTTTATTCAGCTTCTTTGTTCTGGCATAGGGAGCTCTCATGCTTAAGGCGGATGGTAGAGGGAACAAGTTCAAGGCAGGGATTCGAAGGTCGATGCTGAGTTACGGAACGCAATACTTTTCCACCAGAAGAAACAGGAGACAAGTGAGAGGTACGAATAGGAATCTCTTTAGGATGTGAGATCGATAATGTGAGTATTATTATATTACACACATTATCGATCACACCTCCTCAGGGGCATATATTCAGGATTCAAAAGACTATGATAGAACTTCCCATCATCCTGATAAAACCGAAGAAGTCGCAGGCTACCGCTAAAGCGGGCCTTGCGAGATACTTTTTATCAATCGTTCTTCAGGACATGAACCGAAGACCAAAAAGCCCAAGTGATTCGAGGTGCGATTCTTACAGTCCCTACGTGTAATGTTCTCCTCCACTCCTTGGATACATGTTGATGGTGTTTGACAAAAAACGTTCACTATGAGGGAGACTGACGACATCTGCTAAAAAAGCTGATCATCCAGCAAGAAGGGCAAATGTTGGTAGATATTTCGACTGGGTCTATGGAAATACTGCTTCGCAGCTGAACCTGACGAAAGCGATGTTCT